TTTTCTCATATCTCATCTCTTATCTGTAAACAAATCTTTAAAGCCTCATCATTAAAGTCTGGTCAACAAATGTACATTAACAGTTACCACAGATAACCACATATCTATTTTCATCTTGATCAAATAAACTAATTGTATATTTCTTCTTTTTACTTTTAACAATCTTGATATTTAATCCCTTCAAATAATTTCTTAGAACTTGATTTCTTTTCATTTTTTCTTTGTCCCTTTTCATAAAACCTTTCAAAACACTAAGAGAGCTCTTTTGTAAATCCATTATAGGAAAATTATCCAAGTCACTTCTGGTTTATTCTTTTAATTACTATTAATTTTATTGTATTTATTAAAACATCAACTGGATTCATTTGTATGTCCATTGTAGCATTTTCCCCCATATTATTATTTTAGCCTATCATTTTTAGATTTGCTTTCAGAGGAGTCTTAGTTTTGTCTGGTAAAACCTATTTCTCTACATAATATCATTTAAACAAATTCTGTATCTAATTACACATATTCTTAAAATGAACTTCTGAGTCCATAGTAACAAATTAAAATATTTTGCTCTGTTCTGTATTAGTAAGTAAATTTAAGTGTCCTTATCCTTTAATTGTAATCTTTAGTTCCTTTTAGTTCTGTCTAGTGTCAAATCTTCAAATTTGACACTAGACACTACAAAATATCCTATTTTTTAAAAGGAATTCAGTACACCATTTTTTCCAAGGGACAGAATCTTATAATTATTTTCAAAATCTTATTCAAATCCATATGGACTTTTAAATGTCTATGGAGATTCTCAGTCATCCAGGTCATAGTTTTCTCGAGGATGTTTTTCACGAGGTTCTTTTTTTTTGAAGATGTTTCACTTCTCATCCAAGAAGCTTTTTCAGTTCTGACTGGATGGTGGGGAATGGAAGGAATGGATTCTTTTATGCAAATGACCAAATGATATGGACTTTTAGTTCATTTGTAATCAGCATTCTAATCACCTTTTTGCTGTTTATCCCCTGCCCCAAAGAATTTTTTAAGCTCTCAAATGTATATTTAAAACCTATTTTAAGGAATAAAGGAAACTCACTCAGTGAATGGTGTAAAACTTACTGATCCAAAGGTTTCTAATAGTAGAAAGGCAATTAAAAAGTAATTCCAAAAGTGATTAAGAAATGAGGCTTGGCAAACCTTGTGTCCATATAAGCAACATAATGTCTGTGAGCTTGGTTCAAATCCTTGATCTCCCAACTTCTTGACTCAACCACAAAAACATTTCTGCACTCTACTTATGAGGAGCAGCTGACCAGAGAATCTGTGGGTGATCACATGATCTCTCCTTTTTCTGGAGAGATTTTGCTGGTTGCCAATCTCTGCTGCAGTGTCATCCCTGATCCTTTAAGGACATTTGGTTCATCATGAATCCTCACTGGACGTCCTGAAATGCCCCCTCTCTGATCACTAGGCAGATGGAACATCTCTGATCAGCTCAGAGGTAACCTTCTCTGCTCAAGGTTATCCTTACCCATGGGATGGCTAAAGGAGTTAAGTTGCTTTCTTGTTGGCCAAAATAAGAAACAACATAGAAATGTTCTCAGAAAGTACTATGATTGGTATGTTTGGAGTTGTGCCATTCTTACATATTATATTTGCTTCTCTTAAAATGGGTTTATAAATCTTAAAGGTCTTTGCTTAAAAAAGTAGTGATTGTTCAAGCACTATATAAGAACTGAGAAGAATATGTCTTCAAATAAGCAAAGAAATCCTTTTAGCTCTCTTTCAGGCTTTATGACTAATCAAGGTTATCAGTTTGCTTTGTCCTTTTAATATCTGGCAGTATATAATGAAACTGATTTGTAGTCATCTGTGTAGCAAAGTAACATGACCTCAGAAAATAAGTCATTGCTAAGCGTTAATTCTACAGTACTTTGAAACAAAATCTGTTTGTATGGAATTTATAAAGAATTTGGCTTTGAAAGGATAATATATTTCCATTTCTGTTCTGAAGCATACTTTAGATTTCTACAGGCAACGACAAATAATTACAGTTTGTGTTTGTATTTTATACACCGTACAAGGTATTACTTGGATCATATTTTGATATTCTGATGTTGGAGAGCAATGTCTTTATCGACAGCAAGCATTTCTTTTAAACGCAAATGGTGGAAAACTCTCAGTGCCTGAAATCTGAAATGCAAACAATATATTATACTAATCAGACCAAAATAACAAAGCAAAAAATAAATACCAAAAATATAATTTTCTAACAAAATTTGGCCAGATCAGGAACAATAAAAGTGAGATGAGCTTTTTATTAGGATTATTAGAATTTATTAGGATTACTATTTAGTGTAACTGAGAACCTGGGCCGGTTTTGCCATTGCCAGCACTGGGGTGGGCGCGGCTTCAGTATGATGAAACCGGCCCATGGGCTGGAATGTTGTCTTGTATTTTTATAAGTTCCAAGCTTGTCAACTTTCAGAAATAATGAAGAAACTGTTCAGCAAGTTTTTGTCTCTGCTGTGTTATACAATATTCCACAACCAAATTTATAGCCTGAAAAACTGGACAGAAATTAAAAGAGCAATCAAAAGAAGGAAAGTAAATATGTATCAATAGATAAAGATAATAGCTGCACTTGAATTTAGAGATTCACTTCTACTGTTTTCGACTTGAGTTCAATTTTTGGGTTGCAAATTTTCAACCTTGCTCATTTTCCTTTTTTCATGAAAAAATATTTCATATGTAGGCTATTTCTGACCTTTAGTTTTCTGAGATGGGCTCATTATGTTCTTGGTGTAGCCACAAATGTTTATCAATTCTTCAGGAGTGTATTTGGATATTTACCATGAATTTAATAACTATCAGTTTAGACTATCTCTGTCAGCACAATAAGAAGATTGCTAGGGAATAAGATGGATAACTCCCAAACTAATCCCATGTCAGGTTTCCAATACCAGATACAGATGCTCAAATCTGCCTGTCTCTTGGATCATGGATTACTTGATCAATGATATGGAATCAATACAGATAAATAGTAACCCCTCTTATTTAATATAATAAGACTTCTGTATTCTTGAGAGAACATCAATCATCTCCAGTTGAGAGAGGCAGATAGAGAAGACTTCAAGATTCTTCAACCTGAGTTTAACCTGGTCAGACAAAATCTAGATTAACTGCTGAGAAGAGCCACATTGAGCAGGAACTGGTCCCAACAGAACTTATAGACTGTGTGGAAATGGTGGGTGAGGAATGAGTTGCTCTTATTGTAGAGCAGACATATCAAACTCGTGACGTCATGTGATGTTGCGCAACGTATCGGGCCGGTTTTGCCATTGCCAGCAATGGGGTGGGTGTGGCTTCAGTATGATGAAACCAGCCCATGGGCCGGCAGTTTGACACCCCTTTGTAGAGTGACATTAATGATATGTTTATGGAGACTGTCAGTCATTCAGGTCATGATGACATGAAAAAGCACCTTTGGGACATTAATGATAATTATATGCCCATTGTTACAGGGAGAGGATTGTTCTCAAACTCCAACTATCCAGTATATCTGGGGAGAAAAGGAGTGAGAAGGTTTAAAATCTCACAGGAAGATATTTAAATTTAGCAAGATTTGGCTGCAGAAAACTCCTTCAACACAATCTTCAACAATATCATAAACACATTCTGATGGCGAACCAGCTATGAGAGAAGGTATAAGTAATTGAGACATGAAAAGAAGGCGATGAGCAGATCATGTGTTACATTAGTATCTAGCTCAGTAATTTTTATGGAAGTAGTATCAAAGATTTATAGAAAGAATGAGTTCTGAAAACAAGTTTGAAATCTCGGGGTAACTGACAGTTGTAAAGAGCAAGAGTCCCAAGAGAAGTATATACTGCAAAATGAAAGCAGATAGAAACACATATATTATTTTTATTTTTGCTTTTCTATGTATTTCTTGTGAATAGGCTTTGAGAAGAACACATACATGGAATTTCATTTAGGATTAGATGAATTCTGCAGCTTTAGACTATTATATAACAGGCACCTTTATTTTTATTTTCTATTGTTGACCTTTACTGTTAATAATTTATCCCTGAAAATTTAGGACTTCCTATTATAGTAGTTCAGCAGCCACACTAATCTCTTTTTATTTCTATTGCCAATGTCAAGCATTCCATTTATTTGTTTATTTTTATGAGTACTCTCATTGTCTAGCATTAGAGTGGATCAGTCTCAGTCCTATTTATGTCAACATTTCATTTTTCATTCAACTATCCATCTTCAGTGTTATGGTTCTCCAGAGTTATGGAAACTTACAAAATAAAACATTCATTTTAACTCTCAGTAGGGCAAAATGTATTAAATCAGTAACATAAAAATATTACAGAAAAAATCGAGGGCACATTCCCCCCAAAATGGTAAAACATGCCTTCTTAACAGCTTTTTCTAATAATGCATATTTATATAAACTTCTATTTTCATGCGACAATTACTAACCTATGCCATTTTTGTGTGTAGTGTTCATAAAGTTCTATTTTCTTTCCCAATCTCCAGAATATATGTATTTTTGTATGCAACTTTTCCAAGTGGATTGTATGCATCATCCAACGATCTGCAGTTGTATCTTCTGCCTCCTCCTCCTCCTCCTCCTCCTCCTCCTCCTCCTCCTCCTCCTCCTCCTCCTCCTCCTCCTCCTCCTCCTCCTCCTCCTCTTCCTCCTTTGAACCAAGAAATAGAATGTGATAGATTCCATTTTGGGGGGAAAAATTGCTCAGGAAAAAAAAAACCTCTGTAGTTTTAACATTGTATATAAATACCTGCCAGAACTTTTCAGCAAAGAGAATATAAAAGCCAATTGCCTATGTTCTTTTAAAATTATATTACTTAAAAAGAGTAGCAAACAATCCCTGTCAAGTTTAAAAATAGGCTTTTATTTGAAGCCAATTCATATATTTAAAATGTTTATACGTAACTGTGTTGTGGGTCCCTTTTTTAAAACACAGGCACTGCGATTGACCCAGACTCAAGAGCAATCTGCACTTCTCCAGACTTTCCCTTTCCTTTGTAATTCTACTTTGGGAGAGACAACGCTGAAAGAGTTTATGAAAAAGGTTGCCATCAACAGAAGGATTGAGATGGAAATCCTCTGGTATGATAAGCCCCTTGCATTTGATAATGGGACCTGTTCTTGCTTTTAAAGGATGAGCTGGAAAGCTTTTATAAGGGCATGATTAAACCCAGCTGTCTCAGGCTTCTGATCAGGGATGAACTATCCTTTAAAATGCTGACCTGAACTGAATACAGAGTGAAGAATTTCATCATAAAAGAGCCGCTGAGCTACATTCGCTACCAATTAGCCAGGAAAGCACTGACATTCCAGTTTCATACATCCAGCAGAACTTTAAGCATAGGGCTTACATAAGTGCAGGCAATCCTCGACTTACTACAGTTCATTTAGTGACCTTTCATAGTTACAATGGCACTGAAAAAAGTGACTGATGACTGTTTTTCACACGACCATTGCAGCGTCTCCATGGTCACATGATCAAAATTCAGACACTTGGCAAATGACTCATATTTATGACGGTTGCAGTGTTCCGGGGTCATGTGATCCTCTTTTGCTACCTTCTGACAAGCAAATTCAATGGGCAAGTCAGATTCACTTAATAACCCTGTTACCAACTTAACAACAGCGGTGATTCACTTAACAATTGTGACAAGTTGTAAAATGGGTCAAAATTCACTTAACAACTGTCTCACTTAGCAACAGAAATTTTGGGCTCAATTGTGGTTGTAAGTCAAGGACTACCTGTACACAGGAACCTTCCTGCTTCAGCTGATTAATATTTTTTTTTAATCTTAGTTTGTGAAATTTTTCCTCCGTCTATTGTGTAGATTTCGTTGATATGCAAGGTTAACCCCAAAGAACATCAACCCCAAATTTCAGATGTGTTCTACCACAGGAAATTGATGGAAAAGTGATAAATCAAGAACAACCCCTGTGTAATTTCCAGCTGTCCCTACTTGTGAACCAAGGATGGCCAAGTGCAGTTGAAACCAAGCCGGGAGTTTTCTCATCCATGTGACATATCTATGTATAGATAGACATGTATCTATGGCAAGACAAGAGGCAATGAATAGAAACTAATCAAAGAAAGAAGCACCCTAGAATTAAAGAGAAATTTCCTGACTATTAGAACAATTAACCAGTGGAACAACCTGCCTCCAAAGCTGTGAATGCTCCAACACTGGAGGTTTTAAAGAAGAGACTGAACAACCATTTGTCTGAAATGGTGTAATGGGATTGGACTAGAAATCTTCAAAGTCCCTTCCAAATCTGTTATTCTATGTTTATATGTATATATCTGCCAGAAGCCGTGCTCCAAAGCAAGGCAGGATCAGATGAAAAAAATAATAATAACTACTTATTCAGATCAATTGCCCGTACAATAAGGCACACTATTTATAAAAGCAATTGCTCTTTCATTTGCTTATGGCAGCTTTTCTCTTTCTTGCATACATATGGCTTTGATATGCAAATGCACATGCCTTCTTTTTTTCTACTAGACACAGCAAAGAGAAGAAGGATAAGATGGAAATCAGGAATGCGTTGTATGGATCTCTGCAGTGAAATATGCATATTTGTGCTGGGGACGGGGATAAAACAGGATGGCAATAAGGTAAGGGGAAGAAAATCAGGGAAGGAAAAAAAAGACAACAAACAAACAACAATTTAAGAGACTGTGTCAAACAAGGTTAATTTTTAAAGATTTTCCAGCAGTGAAGTTTCTAATCATTTGTCTCTCATACCTGTTGCTTTGCTCTCAGCAGCTTCTTCTAGTTTTGTCTGTAAATATAGGAAGATGCTCTTGATTTATGAGTATTGATTTGGTGGTGGTGGTGGTGGTGGTGAAAATCCTCATCTTATTACGTAAATAATAAGCATTATGGTAAGTTGGAGTATTTGTATATTGGAAATGCCAGTTGATCTGTGTATTTTGCAGAGGATGACAATGGCACGAGACTGTTATATCTCTTTGTGCCTCAATTTTATGCCAGTTTCATTATTTTGAATTTGCTCTTTAAATCTCCCACCTGCTGTGTCCCCTCCAAACACACAACAGGCTTATCTCTTTCTAACACAGTACAGTGTCGGGGTGGGAATTCTGTTATCAGTACTGGGCTCTAGTTACTTGCCAGAATTTATCTCCTGGCATTGAAAGGATATATAAACATCCTAACAGTGGTATGCATATCATTAATACCACACGTAGCATGAGGCTTTAGATCGGGTGTTTTTCAAATTTGCCAACCTTAAGATCTGTGAACTCCCAAAACTGGCATTTTAAAGTTGACAACTTTGAACAAAAAAAAAAAAACACTTTATATTCTATAAAAACCCTGAAACTCTCCCAAGAGGGGTCTCAGTATCGATGTTGGAAAAGCCGATGCTAGCCACTGGCAAAGATGGCTCCATTCTTGCTTACCAGGTTTTTCTGACCACTAAGTAGTAAGCTGAATGTCTGTGTCATCAGATAAGCTGTTGATGCAGTTTGCCTCAGTAAAGTTTACAACCTTCCCCAGGTTAGTATACTTATATCTCAGAACCACTATCACAAATGGCATTCCAATATAAACTATCTCTATTTAATTTATAGAGAGCTTTTTTGTCTACTTCCTCACCGGGATCCCACTAACATACAAGTGTAATATCTACACTCCCAATTTTTTTCCAAACCTATTTTCATGCATTTATCCAAATTTTAGATTAGATACTAAATCAGGGTTCATAGTTTATCTCTCATGGTGTCAAATTTCTTTAGGTAGACACAGAAAAGACACCTTCCTTTGTCTCTTTCAAGATCGGTAACAGAATTTTGGCCAGGTGCTTATATGAGAATATCTTTTTGGTAGTGCATTCCTGTTCAGGTCAATATTCCCATGATTTTTGAAAGATAGTCTTTCAACTACTCCTCATCTACTGGACTTTTCAATAATGGTACCAGCCCTATGGAACAGTTCTCCCAAAGTTGATATAGGGTCCTCATATTATAGCTTTCTGGAAACTCATGAAAACAGGTTTTCTAGATGCTCTTTGGAGAATGATTGTCACTGCAATTATTATTCAAGTGGATTTTTGTTTGCTCATTCTTTTGCAGTAGGAGGGATTTGGGAGTTTCACTGTAGATGTTTTAGTATTTTTCAGTGGATGCTGTTCTTTATATAAGCTCTCAGGACCTTGAAGGATTTGGCAGCATGCAACTTGAATATATAAATAAATACACTGTGTGCATTGCAATATTATCGTTCCCCTATTCATTCTTTATTTCATAAACTAGCAGCATCTATTTCACCATATCTAAGGAAGCTATCAGATCTTGTTTGTGCTGGAACACTTCAAAGTCTGAGGCTAAATTACAAAGTCAAGAACCATCACAGGTGAAGTCAGTGGCAAACCATTTGCATATTGTTGCCAAGAAAACAGCAAGAATCTATTCAGGAAGTTATCAGTCTTCTACCATGTTTTGGCCTACTCTATCCTTAATAGCCTGAAATAGACCATCTTCTCCAAATTGAGTCCTATTGGACTAGATGCTTACAAACCTTTTGGGGCTTTCTTCCAGTGTTAGTTTAATAATAAGTGGGAACAGTTTAGATTCATTGAGATTCAAGCAGTGCCCATTTTTAAAAAGTTCTTAGTATTAATATAATCTTCTTCTTGCTAGCAGAGTTTCCTTCACTTATTGAAATTCCAAAGTTCCATGTGAACAGGGTATATATTTCTGTTTCTAACAATGAAAACTTTTCTAGGCTATTTGCAAATAGGAAGTTCTGTTATTTTTAAAAAATGAACTCCATCCTTAAACATGTGAAGCATTAGTAAAAGGAGCCTTATAATTATGATCAACTACAATATAAATTTGTTCATTTCATAATAGAAATACAGATGAAGAATTAGTTATTTGGGATACATTATGGATGCTCCTTCTTGGATCTGACTGTGAATGGTGATTTAAAGAATATGTTTAAAAACTTTAAAAAATAAATAAATTAAAAACAGTATAAAGGCTTTTCTTTAGTCATGGTTTCAAACCATCTTCAATCAGGAACTGTGAATCCAGGTGGACTCCCAAGTCACAGATCCTGTTCCTTGGGGGCTTTGCTTCCTGATACAGAGGTACTGCTTTGTTGGTGCCATGGAATCTGAATTGACAAATAGTAATTCCATATTACTAGGATTCAAATTAAACCTGTTCTGTCTAGAGTAGACCTTCAGACATTGGAATTGGACCTCAGCAGCATCAACAGTCTAAGAAAGTGATATAAAGCTGAATATGATTAGCACTGTAATAGTACCATGAATTAATGCATTAAAACATGAATTAATGAATTAAAGCTAATGTAATCCTTAGTTGCACAAACAGAGGCATGGAGTCAAGACCATACGAAGTATTAATACCACTTTATAAAACCTTAGTAAGGCCACACCTGGAATACTACATCCAGTGTTGGTCACCACATTTGGTCACCACATTGTTGAGAATTTGGAAAAAGTGCAGAGAAGAACAACTAAGATGATTAAGGGCCTGGAGACTAAAACACACGAAGAACGATTGCAGTATTTGGGCTAATCTAGTCTAGAGAAAAGTAGGACTATGGGTGACATGATAGCAGTGTTCTAGTATTTGAAGGGCTGCCACAAAGAAGAGGGGGTCAACTTATTTTCCAGAGCACCAGAAGGCAAGACAAGAAACAATGGATGGAAACTAATCAAGGAGAGAAACAACTTTGAATTAAGGAGAAACATCTTAGTGGTGAGAACTATTAACCAGTGGAATGGTTTGATTTCAGAAGTTGTGGATGCTTCATCACTGGAGGTTTTTAAGAAGAGATTGGACAAAATAGTACAAAGTCTCCTGCTTGAACAAGGTATTGGGCTAGAAGATCTCCAAGCTCTGTTCTGTAACTCTAGCCCACAAGAGGGCAGGGCTTGGGTTATCCTGTGGAATCCTGTAGAATTATTGGATGATATCTTATTTGTCAAATCAAAACATTCCTTTGGAGCTACATATACCGTAGATGCTGGCGTATAAGACGACTTTCGCAAGGGTTAAAATCGGCGCCGAAGACAGGGGTCGTCTTATACGCTGAATCGTCTTATATGCTGGAAATACTGGTAGTTTCTGGCGTATAAGATGATGTTCTAGGCATGCGACTCGGCGCCAAAGACGGAGGTCGTCTTATACGCCGGGTCGCCTTATACGCTGGCATATACGGTAAGCTTTTTTCAATTACAACAGAATAGGATGGCCTTTTTGGATAAAGGACTGCAATATAAAGCATAAATGAATAGGAACCTATCCACCTGCAACTGTCAGATGGCAAACAAATTCAAAGAAGTTTATGAAACAGATGCGTTGCCTCAAAGATGGGTGTCATTCTATGGCCTTGTTTCAGACTGAGCTTTAACAAGTATGAGTCAGCAGTGTGCTGCAACGGCCAAAAAAGCCAAAGCATCAGATGTCAATGTAGTTCAAAGGGACCTGGGTTCAAGTGATTTTTATAAGTAGATTATCCAGAGAAAAGTATAAAAAAGAGCATAAAGCACTTCACAAATTAAACGTGGTGATGATAAGTTGAAGTAAGGGCATATATGCTGATTTATTTCAACATTATTCTATGGAAATCAGCAACTAAATTTTTAAATAAAACATAGCTCATAAAACCAACTATCCCATGCAGTTACTAATCTTCCCAGTAATAGGATTACTGTTCCTTATAGGTATTAATATGATCAGTTAGAGTAATAGCATTTACACATTTTTCAAGATAAGTTGTATTTAACAATTCATTACTTTTTATGTAGGTAGATCTAATTTCTGCAGATTATTTAATAAGGAATATTCTTTGGAGTATCATTTTATAGTTAATAATTATAAACTGTGACGTGAATGTTTAGAAATGGCAATCTGAAATAATCTATGTATTTTATAGTTGGGAGACTGATGGTGGCCTAGACGATGTTCAATTGTCAAGCTGAGTTTTAGTGAAACAGGTAGCAGGCTATAATATAAATTGCCATGACAATAAACCCAAGAAGTGGAGATCTCTTTTGTGAAGGAAAGATCATCAGAAGACCTTTCGAGTTTGCAAATATATTTAAAAGACATGAATGGCAGTCATGCTTTGGGTAAGGCATATAAATGTATGTGTTTTCAACTAGGAACTCACAACAACAAGAACTGTTGCCTTACTTTCTTCACCTTCTCTGTTCTCTTACTTTATACACATTTCAGTACTATTCCCAATATTGTAAGTAAGCTCAAAGGATTAGTTATGACCAACAAGGTTTAAAGAAGTTCTAGCCTCTGAATCAATAATTTAAGATGTACAAATATTAGCCTATTTATGTGATGCCTTTAAGAAGAATGTAATTGTCTTTGACTATATCATCTACTACACTTTGAAACTTGGTTTTCCTGTGGCAGAGTCAAAAGTCCTCATTTGCAACTCGTCTGAGATTGGCCATTAGCAGGAGAACTTAAAACTGGGAAAATTAGGAGGTCCACACATGAAGTGAGTAACAACGTCTTGTCTTCCTTCTCTGTGTCTTGATGGAGATCACTGGGTACAAACAGTGTAGACCGCAAAGCACCTTAAAATGTGTAAAGGCATCACA